TCCTCCTGGTCCTCCTCTTCTTCCTCCTCCTCTTCCTCCTCTTCCTCCTCCCTCTGCTTCTCTATCCCTCCTGTTCCTCCTGTTCCTCCTCCTCCTCCTCCTCCTCCTCCTCCTCCTCCTCCTCCTGGGAGGGAGGGAGGGGGGGAGGGGGGGGGAAGAGGAAATGGAGGAGACGAGGAGGGTGGAGGAGGACGAGGAGGGAGGGGAGGAGGAGGAGAGGAGGAGGAGGAGGAGGAGGAGGAGGAGGAGGAGGAGGAGGAGGGTGGAGGAGGATGGAGGAGGAGGCGGAGAGAATCGGGAAAGGGGAGGAGAACAAGTATGGGGCAGGAGGCAGCAGGCAAAAGGGCGCAAAGGCCAGAAAGAGGTCGAGTGAGCAGGGAGGACAGGGAGCAGGAGGAGGAGGAGGAGGAGAAGGAGGATGAGGAGGAATAGTTTTTGCAAATGGCCATTTCCGAGGAAAAAGCATCTGATACGTCTGGTGTCGGAGGAGAAGCCCAGAGTAAACCCAGTATACATTTGGAGTAATGCGACACACACGAGCATGACACAAGCCCCTGCAAGCATTCCCCTTACCTGCTGGAAGCGCCAACACGAAAGACGAGCGCGCCATGGCCCTACCATTCAGGCGAGAGCCCCGTGTAGAGAAGTAGATGCGTCCATTGCTATCAGTTGTAGAACATGCCATGAGCGAGGATCGTAGGGGCCCAGGCAGTGTCCAGCGAGAGCTCCGTTTTGAAAAGGAGGCGCCTTCCGTGCTAACAACTGTTACGCAATCGTGACGCCAGAAGAAATCTCAAGCGGAAACCCGGTTTTTGTTTAAGGGAGCAGCCTTGTCTGAAGAGCTGTCAGGCGAAAGCCCCATTGCTTAACACCATCCACCCTCCATCCATAAAAGATTGGAAACGTTTGAGCCGATGTGCGCGACGCTGGAGCGAGATGCAAATCTCGAAAAAAGGCACAGTCTCTATCCGCGCAGAAGGTTGGAGAATGTACGACGACTGGGCCGACGCTCAAGCGAGAGCCGCATCCTGAAAAATGCCAGCCCCAGATCCAAGCAAGGAATTGTTTGAAGCGATCAGGACACACGTGCCGGCGCCAAGGCGAGAGCCGTATGCTCAAAACCTGTCGCTCTCTCTCTCTCTCTCTGTGTCTCTGTCTGCGTATAGCGTCACTGTGACCATGTGAAACGCCGTGAAGCTAAGCGGGGACGAGGTCTGAAGCAAACCGCCCAACCCGCCCGATCGACGCGCTTGATGGCGCGACGATGAAAAGCAATTTATCGAGCAGGGGATCGACTGCAGAATTGATGTACCCCAAAATGGATTTCCTCGTCGAATCCAGGACTAAAGCGTCTAATCTTCGTTCTACGAACTTTATACTAGCGTTTCTTGTTACCATCGCTTCGGCGTGAAATCCAATGCTGGGGTACAGCAATGATGCAGTCGATCTCCTACTGGAACTGACAAAATGTGTCAATGAGGAGGTCGAAGAGAGGGGAGGCAGCAAGAGCTTACGAACAGGATAGGGGCAGAGAGGAGCACGGCGAGGAGGCAGAGCGCGGAGGAGGAGGACGACGAGGACGACGGGGACGACGGGGAGGAGCTGGAGGACGGGCAGGAGCCGAGGGGAGGAGGGCTGGCGGCCCACTCTTGAAGTCGTTGTGATCACTGGAATCACAAAAGGCTCAAGACCAAAACCTCCAGCCTCCCCGACGGCCCCACAGGCCCCCGACGTCGTGTCTTTCTCGCAGCGGGGACCCCCAAAGATCTGAACCCTTCCGCGGGGCCGTCTTTTCGTCCTGGACCGTTTTGACAGCCTTGGGGTACAGTGCTTGGATCAGCACGGGGGACTTGGATCAGCACGGGGGATGCTGCCAGGGTCGTTCGGATAATGGGGCTCAAAAAAAAGGATGCAGTAATTAACTGGCCGAGCCTGGTTTACAAGTCGGTACAAGTGCCCAGAATGGCTTGCGATGGGTTGGCGGGGCCGATTTAGCCCAGACATTCCTCCCAAAAGCCACTTCGTGCACGTGTAGACCGCTGACGAAGTACAGTATAGGATGCACACAAAACTACGACACTCGAAGCAGGAGCTTCCAGGAGCCGACCGTTTTTTTTCCTGCAGTGTCTTTTGGGAAACCGAAAGGTACTGATACCGCTGCTCCCCGGGCCTCTCCCGGGCTGCGTGCCGACCAAGGTTTCGAGGCGCATCCAGCGGTGGCGGCGAGAGCCTCCCAAGAGGCCCAGAAAAGCGGAAAGAACGCGGAGGGGCACCGGTATGGGTACCTTTTCCTCCTCCGAGTCTTGACCCGTGAACTCTTCCCGTGCGCTTTTGTTCGATCTCGCGCGCGCGCTGTTCGCAAACGACCCCAAAGATGCTCCCCTGTGGTCCTCGTCGAAGAAAAAAGCGCACACGTCCGAGCGACGCCAAGAGGTCCCCGCCCCCTCCTCATCCGCGAGGGCCCCTCGTTGAGCACGTGCCCCGCGCCCGCGCCGCGGTCCTTGCCCGCAGGGCGGGGCTTCGCGCGCGCGCGCGCCCTCGCCACGCCACGGCGGGGCCGCCCCGCGCACGCGGTCGCACGCCGCCGCCGCCGCCGGCGACGCCGCCGCCGCCGACGACGACGACGCCGCCGACGACGACGACGAAGACGAGGACGACGAGGACGACGACAACGACGACGAAGAAGGCGACGCCTACGACGACGACGACGACGACGCCTACGACGACGACGACGACGACAGCGACGACGTCGAGGCCAGCGCAAACGCGGACGACGACGACAAAAAAAATACAAAAAACACGACGACGACGACGAATACGACGAAGACGACGACGAAGAGGACGAACGAGACCCCATGTGCGACGGCAACGACGAAGACGACGACGCCGACGCTGACACGCACGCACACGCCAACGACCGCGATTGCCACGTTGCGTTGCACATTCGGGGCACCTCGTCTGCCTCCTGGCGTCGTCATTCGCGCCGACCCCACGTCGGATCATCGTCGCACCTGCGTCGAACCTACGCCAAATCCCCATCGAAATTGCATGTGTCCGCGCTTGGACATGATAAACAGCCGTTTAGAATTTCATAGACACGGCCACGTCGAGCCTGCTGTGATCCGCGCTCGGACTCAAGAAACAACTGCGATTTGCATGACAGATAACTCTTGCGATACAGCCGAACATATGGTGACGAAAATTATAGTGCAAGAAACATGGGCCAGCTTCCAGGACGTCGTTTACAACAAGCCTGGGCCAACTTCTGTTGAGAGGCGGACGTGCGAAAGAAGCTGGGTCAGCTTCCCGGCAAGTTGGCCAAGAAACGCTGGCCCAGTCTTGCGGAAGGAGGTTTTTACTCGGATGCCCGACTGTAATGCGACGACCACGGAGACGAGGGCGACGACGACGATGACGACGACAACGACGATGAAGAAGACGGCCAGGACGATGACGACAACGACGACGACGCTGAGGCCAACGCACACGCGGAAGACGACGACGACGACGACGACGACGGCGACGACGTGAGGGCGAGGACCTCGGGCAGCGGGGCCGTCGCACGCCGAGGAGCGCCGCGGAGCGCCGCGGAGCGCCGCCCGCCCGCCCGCCCGACGGGGGCCCCCCCTCGCCCGGCTCGGGCGCCGGGCTCCGTGGGGGGGGGGGCCCCGCGCCCCGCCGGCTCCTCGAGGCGGTGGGGAGAGCTGCAGGTCCGCCTAGGGGGGCGCGTGCATCCGGATCGGGGGCCGGGCGGCCCACGCGAGCCTCGGGATGGTGCTGTTGCTGGAGGCCCCTGGGGCGCGGCAGCGCGGCGTCTGCGGGCTCTCCGCCCCCGTGGGCGGTCGCGCCCTCGGCGCGGCATCGCCGACCTCGTGGAGAAAAAAACGCAGCTCTTGCCAGCGCCTGCGGGGGACGCCTGGTCGGACGGACACCATCAAGGGCTCCGGCCAGCCGACCCGAGGTCGGCGGCGAGCGACGAGGGGGAAAAATGCGAGAAGGAGGGAGGCCTCCTGAGAAGGCGGCGGGGCTTCTCAGAGAGGCCGACGCGCCTCCTGAGAGGTCTTCTGCGTCTTCGGGGAAGGTTCAGTGCAGGAGGAGGAGGAGGAAGAGTAGGAGGAGGACGAGGGCGTGGATCAGAGGGAGGATTGGACGGCGCCTCGCCGGGAACGGGTGAAGCTGCCCGTCGTCAAGTGAGGGCCGATGCTGTCGACCCCTGGCCTGCCAACTCCAGACAAGCAGGGCTAAGCAAGCAACCGTATGAGCATCAGAGGGAGGAGGAGGAGGAGGAGGAGGAGGAGGAGGAGGAGGTTGGAGCGTCTGGGCGGAGGAGGAGGAGGAGGAGGAACAGTGTAACCCCAAGAGTCATCAACGATGTTGGAATAAAGTTCCTTTCAAGCTCCCTCCCTCTTCATGGGCCCCTACAAGGGTTCATTTCCACTGATGGACCTGCCTCGTTGGAAGACAACCGTTTGAAGATCCTGAAGCATACCAAAACATCATTCTCTGGATTCCAACGCCACGGATCAAAATTACTCTTGCGTCTTGACGATCCTGAATCGCGCCAACCTGAATATTTCCAGAACGCCATGTCTGGTACGTTGCCCAGGGGAATCCGTGCAACTCTTACAGCGTTTAAGAAGAATGCGCGCGGCGCTAGGGCGAGAGCCACATTTGAAAACCATCCGCCCTCATTCTGTGAAAACTCTTGCAAGCTTTCCAAACGAATGTGCGCGGCGCTGAGGCGAGAGCCACATTTTGAAAACCACCCGCCCTCCATCTGTGAAACTGTTGCCAATGTCTAAGCTTCAGGGTCAGAAGTGGTGAGGAAATCTCAGGCGAAACGCCCAGCCCGCCCCCAACAAACTGACCTCGGGGTGCGACAGGGAAAAATTAGTTACAAGGAAAAGGAATTGAGGAGGAGGAGGAGGAGAAAGGAAGAAGGGAGGAGGAGGACCTGCTTGGGCTGCCTGATGGCGGGCCCCTCGCCCCATTTTTCTCCCCCATGGCCTCGATGGTGCCCAGCACCTGCGCAGGAGGAGCTCCTCGCCCAGCGGGCACCCGTCCGAATCGAACGCGCCATCGGCCCCTCGCCGCTCACGGCCGGCTCTCGGACCCGCTGCCTGGGCTGGCTGCCCGGCTGCTCGCCCCCCCGCCGCTGCGACGGCCCACCACGGCCAGGGATCCAGGCGATAACGGGGGGTATGGCCACCCCAATCTCAGACACCCTGGGACGTTCGAGAGGCAAAACAAAAAGAAACGGCGCACAACTTAAAACAGGTGGGCGGAGCCCAATCCGCGACAGGGGTACGTCCGAACAGCCCCCTAGGGGTGTACCCCCTGGTTCGCCCCCCCTTTGCTAAACGGTCTGGGAGGGGATCTCGGGGATCGGGGGCGAGAAGTCGCATGCGAGACGAGGAGGAGAATGAAGAGGAGGAGGAGGAGGAGGAGGAGGAGGAGGAGGAGGAGGAGGAGGAGGAGGACGGCGACGACTTGACGCTGCAATCTAGCCGATTGAAGCCCGACCCACGCGAAAGGGAGGACGGCGAGGCGAGAAGTTGCCTGCGAGGCGAGAAACTACCTGCGAAGCGAAAAGACCGCCTGCGAGACGAGAAAAAACACCTGCAAGGCGAGACAAACACGACTGCGAGGCGAGGAGTTGCCTTTGAGGCAACAAATCACCTGTGAGGCGACAAGCGAAGGCGAAGGAGGAGGAGGAGAAGGAGGAGGAGGAGCCAGAGGAGGAAGAGGAGGAAGAGGAGGAGGAGGTGGAGGAGGAGGAGGAGGAGGAGGAGGAGGAAGAGGAGGACAAGGATAGGGAGCAGGAGGAGGAGGAGGAGAAGGATGAGGAGGAGGGGGACAAGGAGGAGGAAGGGGAAGAGGACGAGGAAAGGGAGCAGGAGAAGAAGGAGGAGAACGGAGGAGCAGGAGGAGGAGGAGGAGGACGGTGAGCAAGAAAAGGAAGAGGGGAGGAGGAGGAGGAAGAAGAGGAGGCCGAGGAGGAGGACGAGGGGAGTAGGAGGAGCAGGATGATGATAATGATGATGATGATGATGACGATGATGATGATGATAATGATGATGGTAATGACGATAATGATGATAATTGTCGTGATTAACGTCGACGATGTACTCTGCACGATGAGATGTGCTGCGCTCGTCCGTCGAGCATCTGGCGCCGGCCCGTGCCGGCGAGCGTGTCTGCCGCGCTCTCTGCACAAAAGAGGGGGCCCCCTCCTCGATCCCATACAGCCGCGGAGGCGGCGGCAAAAGAGAGAGTGAGAAAGGAGAGGTTGACTCAAAACTTCGCTCGAGTCGCCTCGGCTCGACATGAGCCTAAAATCCTTCTCAACCGTTCCGACCGAACTGGATCAAAAGAGGGGCCCTGCACAATACGAATATGAAAAAGAATGATGAGAAAGAGCCCGACCCTATCCTCAAGATAGGTCGAGAAAAGCTAAAGCGTCGGCGGCCTCGGCTTCAGCGTCTGTAGATGCCTGCGGCTTGTCCTGAGCGAGTTTGTTGGCTCGCTGTCGCTTCCTGGCTGACATGAAATCCTCATCGTACCTGATGATCCAGGTACGCCGTGCAAGCCACAGAGCCAGAGGCTTCCTTGCCTCGGGACTGTCCTTCGTGAGGCCGTCGGTGAGATTGAGGTCCGAGGGGACCCAAACCAGGTGCTGGTTCTTCTCGGGCCCGCAGTTCGCCTTCACATGTAGAACCTCCACGCCGGTCCTCGCATCGCTCAGGCCTATGCCGAAACTCTCCTTGTTGTGAACTGAATCATAAACTCCTCGGCTGTCGATCACCAGCACCGAGGTCATGGATTGCGCCACCTCCTCCTGAGTGTGCGCGGTGACTGGAACTCCGTGCATGACTGACCACAGCATGCGCATCAGGTACGCCGCGTTCTCGCCGTCGTACAGAGCCTGTCCCTCGCAGCCGTTGGTGCCGATGCCGGTGCGCTTGAGCTTGTACGATCTCCAGTCGGCGATCGATACTGCACATTCCTTCTGCTTGAGGATCTCGGCCGTGGTGAACGCCACGATGTAGCCTCCTCGTTGTAGTAGTCTGCTTGCGTCGACCCACGTCACGATCACTAGGTCGTCCCACTTCAGCTTACCGCCACCGTTGCTATTGAAGTTGTGGAACACCAGGGAATCACGAGCTGTCCGCTTCACATCGCGTATGAGGGCGTTCGTGTCCTTCAGGTCTCCGAACGTCGCCTCGTTCACCCGTTGAGCCAACAGTGACACCCGACATGAGAACTGTGGTGCTGTCTGTGTCGCTCTCCATTGGCATATCATCAGGCCTGCCCTGAACTGGGTGACGTCCTCCGGCTTGAGCTTGTCATCCTTCGAGAGGTACTTGCCGGACTCGACCCTGATCTCGAGGAGCTGGTGACAGAACTCCTCCTGGCTAGCATGGATCTTCCCTGATGGCTCCTGGGTGATCCACATGCCTGCCCACATGCATGGCGTGCTTCGCCATGGAGACCACCGCA